TTAAAAATTAGGTTATCTAGTGTTCATATTAGCTAAAAATAATGTAATACCCATAAGCTTGCATCCTGTTAACCATGACATGAACAGTCATATCACTAAGAGTTTCTAATTTAAGATGAGAAATTTAGCATAAATCACAAACAACAATATATCCAACCGTAAATGACCTGTCAGTGACAATCAGCAAATAGGTAATTCCAGAAGCTATCAGCCAAATACACACCATAATGAGAGTTTTCACAACAAAGCTTGACGACCAAGTACCAAAGTATGCGCGTAGGACTCATTACTCGGTCTGGGATTTGTGCACCTGTATCGACGGGAAGATGCACTGTGGGCTATTGCTATTACCACTAGTTCCATTATGACATACACGCATCCTACACTGTTCCTACGCTATCCACATCAGCCTCGTCCTGAAGCTCTCGGATGCCACAACATGGCATCAGTTTTTAGGTCTGCAGCTGATTCCTGTAGAATCCAGGCGAGCGGATGTATTGTCCGGAATTAATTTATTAAATATTTACCTCTTTCTATCTAAAACGACAATATAATACGAATCACGTTTGAGTGCACGCGATTAAAGGACCTCAATAGCACGACGAGCAATTTAAACTTCGGAGCCATCTCCGGTTGGCAGAGGCGTGGAACCGAGCTCCGGACGGCGTCGCACCGAAGCCGCGACTGGACCTGGGCTTCGAACACACCAGTGCGCAACGAAAGCGCAGTTCCAGGTCTGCAAGGAGGTAAACCGTTATTCAATATAACATAAGTATATAGACACTAATCCATATTTTAGTAGGCATGCCCATATGCCGTCCGATGACCAAAATATGACACAAGTTGAGACTGTAGAAATCTGTCTGCAACAATGGCTCCATGGAGGGACAATATGCACAATGGGAATCGAGTATTACTCAGACAAGAAAGCTAGAAACAAGATATCAGTGGCTATACAGTTCGCGAGTCTTAGACAAATGGACACCATAGGAGAAAACTGTTGGAACAGTGGCCAAACGAGAGGAACTGTTTGCAGCAGATGATCAGCTGGACAGGACAAGAACACATTCACAAACATTAAGTATACTTGTAGTCTGAAATCATTAGAGTTTATAGGTTTAGAAATACTCATAGGCACTCAGATGAAAAAAGCAATCAAGAGATGACATGTCTACTGAGGAGCTCCTTGGACAACTCGATATGAGAGCCTGCAGAACGCAGACTCCCATTGAAAAACAGCATTGTAGAATCCCATAGAGCTATTGCCAACCTCACGGAATAATGCTAACCACAAGTATGTCAAGTAGCTGAGTTACTGCAATTTCTCGATATACTTACTTTAGATGAAATAAGGAGCCCTCCAACGCCCTCCATCTCATGAAAGTATAGCCTAATTGGTTAGAATTCAACCACCACTGGTAATCACAATGGTGTGCCTCCAGAGGAGCAGGAGATTCAGGGTCGACATAAAGGGCGAGGAAGAGAGAGGACAGAGAAGGGGGGGCGACGCTTGCGTCGCTCAGGTGACGCTGCGTCGCTCATAGGAGGAGATTCAGGTGAGAAGGGGGGGGGGTGTAACCTTGGTTGGTGATTGGCCAATGGTTACGCAAGCCAAAAAAACGTTATGACATCATAAAGTGGCCAAAATCTGATCAGCTCATTTCCTGTAAAGAAATCACTTTGTTTATGGTCAACCTAACCTCATACAATGATTCACAAGATATATTGGGCAAGCCCTTGCAGTGCAGAACCTTTTTGGCAACACAACTACATAAGTTCTTGGAAAAGATTATGTATTGGGCTAACATTTGCAACAAAGTTGTGTAATAAATAGGTAAATGCTAATTTCTGGTTTCACACAGTCTGTTGGGTGAGAATCCATTGTTTTTAGACCCATCCAATCACCCCTAAATCCCCTTTATACGTCACGTCTCCTGTTATTTTTGAATTTGAGTGCATTTATTTTATATAAGTATGGATAGTAATAGTAGTAATAATAATAATAATAATAATAGTTATTTTCTATAACATCACTCTTTGCTGATGCATCTCCTTTGTCAAAGTTGTTGAATAGACTGTATGTACTTGGAGTGAAAATGTCCATTTGCAGCTCATCACTGACAGCTCTTAAAGCCTGCGTGAAGACATTTATAGAACCTGTATAATCACACAGATTTTCCACCCACACACCGGGTAAAACATGTGCAGTGAGAGGGATGAGAGCTGGTGGCCAGCTCTGTAACCTCAGCTGATATTAGCTGTGAGGTTACTGACAGGTAGAGTGGGTGTTGGGTGACCAAATATGAGTCTACATATGGTGCACATGCTGTGTTCATCGGACAGATCTGTATTACGCAATCTGATAACTCCATTGTTTCATGTGAAGCAACCATCATGGTCCGTTTTGTGCATGCTAAAAATACAAATGGAGTATGTGGGTGGCATGAGAGAGAGAAAGAGAGACAAAAGTACGGTAGAGAGGAGAAGATGGTTCATGATTTATTATGAAAGAAAGAAACATTTTTTTTAAACTTCCCCTTCAACATTCTTGTGCCATTATTGCAAATATATTTGAGGAATTATGGCTGAGTGTTGATCACCACAACAGAGCCTGCAAACGTAAGCCTCGACAAAAATAACACAGATGGCAACATATCATTCTTTAGGGTAACTGTGATCTAGGCAGTCTGCCCTGAGACGGAGGTAGAAATCAAGAGCAAAAACTCTAATGAACCCCTCCAAATCTTCCATGGCCAGAAAGGAAGTTCCTGTGTTGGGCAGCTGGGTTAGATATTCCAAGGGGGGAGATATATATGTATATATCTCCCCCCTTGGAATATCTAATATATTAGCATCCGGGGATCGAGGCAATGAAGAAACAGCAGAGAGAGGGAGAGGAGGAAAAGAACAAGCAAGGAGGAAGAGAGTGCGTGGGAAGGAAGAAAATGAGATGCAGCGAGAGGATTGAGAAGGAGAGTTCAAGAGGAGAAACAGCGGATTTAAGAACAGCCTGCAGAGCCCAGAGAAATACTGCAGACTGATAGATAAACAGAGCCTTACAGAAAAATCCAGATGACAGAAGTTTACAGTTAGCGACCATGGAGAGGAAAAGAGCTCGCAATGGAACTCATTTAACATAAACAGTGAGAGTAGCACAGCTGGGAGTCATTATGTGGGGGAGACGCAAGTGTCTGCCAATCTAACCTCTGACTGCCTCTCGATGAATGTCCACACCCACTAATCACCCCCTGGAGCCTGTACCATCTCTCAACGTCTCAGTCTTTGGTGTTTGAGTGCATTTTGGAAATGTTTGATTTGGTCTTTTTGTGCTGTGGGTTTGATCTAACAAGCTTAATTATGCATGTTTGTGTCAGTGATGGAGGGAGACACCACGACTGTGTGTCCTTAGTTTATTATTGATAGTGCATAGATCCAACTGTCCTACTTGTGTGTTAAAGATAGAGATTTTAGTGTCAGGCAGAGGGTATTTGAGGGCCTGAAGTTACCATTCGCTCTCTACCATACGAGAGGTCATTGATTGAAATGGGTTCACCATGTTTGTTTGAACTGTGGGAGTTGAAAATGGAAAAATGTGAAAAATATTTGTATCTGAGTGGAGGAAAAATAGATGTTTTCCATCTTTGTCGGCAAACAGGCTGTCATCAGGAAAGCGACCGCTTATCTGTATCTCTACATTTTTCAAAACAGTCCCAATGGGAGGAGACGCAGTAACTGGTTGGAAAACACTGTCAATGTTTTATTCCAGGCTCATAAATGTCCACATGGAAAATTCTTCAATTAATCAGAGTGATTTTTCTATACGGAAAACAATATGGAATATTTCAAGCTAAAAATACACAATTGTTTTAGTTTATTATAGTGCAACATGAATTGTCACGCAAGGTCAGACAGGGGCTGCAGCTTTGACTTGAAAGCCCATGTAATTTCTTTGAACTTTATAAATGTAAGCTACATTTTCACAAAACACCAGCCCCCTAGGTTACAGTTGCATTGCCTATCAAAATATCAGTTTCTACACAACCGTAGCTAGCTAGCTGAACAATGTTAGCTTCATGAGTTTTTTGAAAATGCTTTCTCTATCTGACTTTAACATATCCAGCTAACATTAGAAAAATCTGAATCTTACATTAGAGGCATCAAATAATCAAACACTGGCAAAACGTTCTGTGTAAACGAACCATTAAATAACTTAGTTAGTAGTAAGCTAGTTCAGCGGACATGCTAATGCTGAGAATTACAGCTTGATGTATATGCTGTGTTTCTACATTTTGGTGATGGTTGGATAACCTTTTTTTTTTTTTTACACTTTTAATTTTTATATTTCCCTCTGCATGCGACCACTGGCAGTGGCGTTGGCAGTTGATGAAACTAGATCGCAGCTTATTGAATAATTTAGCGGTGGGATGGCTCATGACCGCTGTTAACCCTTTCACAGCCAACAATCATTTGCTCACTGTTTGCACACACACAATGGAGTGTGTTTGGGCATGCATGTGTTTGTGTGTGCTGTTACTGTCGCTGAGTTGTTACAAAGCTAATTTAAATCTAGTGTGTGTGTGTGTATGCATGCATGTAAAGGATTTTGTCAACAATACTCTCACTTGCATGCTTTCCAAAAGGGGATTAACGTAAACTTAATATCCCGGTTATAATAAATCAGGAGGTCAAGTTTCCTTTGAGCCCTCAGTCCTGCTGAGTTTGGTTGCTAAAGGCAGATGTGGCAGATTACCATATCTTGAAAGCTGTGTGAGAACTGCATTGGATAAAGAACACATTATTGAGAATAAATGATATATACTTGACAAAAACTACATCTCCTGAATGCAACCAAGTAAAGTTAAGAGTTATAAAAGCATATCATTTGTAAACTGATCAATCGATAGACGCCAGGTTAAACAAACAAGAAAACATTGAAGTCATTTTAAGGGAAATTTCAATCTGCAGTTAAACTAAAAAGTGCATTCATCATTCAATAATGTAATTTATTTTATGACGTTCCATAACTTGACCGGAGTTCTTTCCTGAGCTAAAAACTGAATCCCAGTTTTTATTTTTGTATTTTCAGGTTAGAACAATTCAGCTTGATTCAAATTTCCTGCTGTGCTATGTAGACCTAAGCATACAACGTTCAAAACAGCTGTAAACATTGACTTTAGCCCCAAATAAATTGCAATGAAGTTGGAGCTTACATTTGAGTTTATGTCTCTAATTGTTTCACTTTTGGAACATTGACTGAGTCATGTATAGTTTTTAGAGTTTAGTTATAACCTTACAGTATATAGCAGGGGTATTCAACTAAAATGCAACAAGGTCCAGTTAGAGAAAATCTCCCCATGCAAAGGTACGGAACATCAAAATGTCTAACTTGCTTCATGAATTAGTGTGATATATATTGAAGTAGCCTGTAGCTTTATCAACGTCTGCATGTAATCAACAACGGACTGCCAATCAAATAAAGAAAGTACAATTCATAAATAACAATATTTA